TTCCTGAGCCGTCCACCAGGGCCCCGTCTGTGTTACTAGAGACCCAAACAACGGTGGTGGAACCGGATCCCCTGCCAATGACTGCAACAGCCGTAGTGGATCCAATCCCAGAGACCCAGCCAAAACCAGTCCCAGAACCGGAACTGGCACCGCAACCAGCACCAGAACCATTACCAGCACTGAGTCCAGCGCTTGCAAACCCGTCTACAACTTCAACGCCAGAGGGCACCAGCGAGCCTGACCTGGCGGAAGCAGCAGATAACCCTACCCAAGAGGCTCAGCCAGAGCCTGAGATACCATACACAGCACACACGGAAACTGAGGCACACACAATATTCATGCAAAACAGTAACAAAATCCCCCTCTTCATCACAGGTTGTTTTTAAAATAAAAGTTTTGTGCAAATGTTCCATTTCTTAAAAGTTAATCACAGTTTTTTTTTGTTTTTAGAAAGGTTTTGCAGAGATCTTGGCCATTTAAAACTAATGATCACTGGGAAAAATTCACTGGCTAGGAATTTTTCAGAAAAACTATCCCACTATCTCGGTTGGGGACACAGAAAAAAACAGACATTTGAATTATTAAGATAGATAGATAGATAATGACTGGTAATTAACACTTGCCCTCCTATATCAGTAAGAGATGGACTCCAGTCACCATGATCTCCATATTATCAGATATGTCAGGTTTCAATCTCGACCTGGCGGTTCCAAGGTTTCCCAGTGATTCTCTTTTTTTCCCGCATCTGAACCTGGTAATTCCCAAGAAATTCCCAGAAAAAACACACGAGTAAAATACTGAGCTCAATACAATGCACAAAGATCCCTTGCTCAGAGCTGAGATGGGGTCACCTCTGGGGTGGGGTGTGGGCGCTGTTTATATAAGGATCCATTACCCAGCTGGCAGTGAGATGCAGCCATTCCCAGGTGGGGCATCTGTTTAACAGCAACTGAGGGAAACTTCCCGGGCAGCTAATAAAAAGAAAGCAAAACCAAATGGGGATTAACCAGAGACAGAATGTACCACACCAAGCTAGGGGCCGGCCCGGACACCGGGGTTACTGCCCTGGATCTCGCCCCAATGACCAGGGGTCTGCCCTGATCCGCATGGATCCAGCGCAGCGAGTTCTAACCCACTAGACCCGGCAGCCACAGTCCCAGCAGGAATCTGCCCTGGGCTCGCCCCTTCCACCACTGGCCGGGGACCTATGTCCATGCGGCCGCGCCCCAGTGTTCAATGGGACCCTTTCATCTGCTCTCCGCGGCTCTCGCCCAGCCCCGAACAGGGGCTGACCAGCTGGAGGTGGAGCAAACTCACCAACTGGAAACTTCCTGTTGTGCAACATTCACTCAGCAACCATCCTCCCAGAACAGCCACCGGTGCCCACAGGCAGGGGGGCAGAGCTGATGTGCCACTGGCCAGGGGCAGAGCAGACCAGGTTCTGCCTGGGGCGGGAGACTTGGGAGGACCCGGACATCAGGGCTGGTCCCAATGTCTCCGGGGGGCACTGTGTTTCTTTGTATCTCAACACTGGGCAAGGAGTCCTTGTATAAACAGCCCCCCTGCCTCACCCCAGAGGCAGCCACAACTCAGCACTGGGGAGAGGTCCCTGTGTAAACAGCCCCCAAGACCCAGGGTGTTACCTGCACATGCTAGGGCACCCCAACTTGTAGGGCTCCCAGCAAAAAGGTCCTACCCTTACCCAATTTGTAGGGCTCAGGGCCACCCATACCCAATTCATAGGGCTCAGGGGTAACTAATCTGGTCAATTTAAGTAACCACATCCTTTCCCAATACATAGGGCTCCGGGCGTACACTACTTCTGCAGGTGTGCGGGACCTTTTATCAGTGAAAGAACCTCACACAGAAATATCCTACTTAATCTCTATTTATTAACAATCACCCAAACCAGATTGCACACACTATACAGACAGTGCTCACCACTCCCAATCAGACAGATGAACTTTTCTTGATGGCCAGTCAGGATCAGGTCCATCTGGGGGACTCCAGTTTGTGCAGGGTCATTGGCAGAGTGTTGAGGTCCGGCAGCTCTGATCTTTGGCGCTGTGTCCTGGAGTTGGTACCCAAAGAACTTCCTTTTGGACCCCAGTTTATAGAGTGAAACTTGAGTCCTTTTTAGCTGTACCGTAACCAATCATTATACTAACAATTTACTAACCAATCCTAACACAGTGTAACATAATCCTTTAACCAATCCTATGCCACCACCTTAATTAATTTACACCTAGAAAAATTAAATATGTGACAGACAGAAACAATTACAGAACCAGACAGACACTATACAGCTAAACAATAGGGAAGTGGGGAACAGAATGACAAAACAATAAAGAAATGAAGATTTTACAACCACAACTATTGATGAGTGATTTTTTGACGGACAGATGCTATCAAACTAAGTTTTCTTTAACCATCTTAAGATCTGTTTCTTTATCTGGTGATAGTGGGGGCCATTGGGACGGGGTCTCCTTCTTAACAGCCTGATCTGACATTGTTTTAATGGAATGTGACTTCTCAGTTAATGGCTGCTGCTTGGCTGCTCTTTGAATCTGGCTGCAGACGAAGGCCTGATCCTTACACAGGCCAGGTTCAGCTGTGTCTCAGCTCTTAAATCAAAGGACGGAGTCTGTGGGGGGCCGTGGAATCCAGCTGCTTCTCCTGATGCAGCCGATGACCCAGGTCCCATCACAAGGGAATCCCCAGACTCAGTGACCTGGGAGGCGTTTGACGAACCGAAAAACAGAAAACAAACATCTGCACTCAATGGACCGGCTCCAATCTGCTGAGGTCTCCCCTGCTGAGAGACCCTAGAAGGGAAGAACCCCAGGTCCGATTCCCACCCCCCAGAACCAGCCAGTGCCCCACCCTGGGGCAGATCAGAGCCGGTGCACCCTAGAGGGGAAAGGTCCCATGCCCCATTCCCTCCACCCCCAGCCAGTCCCCCTGCGGTGGGGCTGGAAGGCAGCTGTCCATGGGAGCTGCTGATATCTGTGACATTCTCCCACTTGCGTTGCTGGAACTGAGATCTCCAGCTACTGGAAATTGTTTCTGCAAGATGTTCTAGGGCCAAATTCACACCCTGACTTCCCCTTCCTGTCTTGAAATCTCACATCTCGCCGCAGCCCTCACCCCGACACTCACACTCACTCCGCCCCAGGCACCCGGCTCTTCCCATTGGAGTCGGGCTTTACTAGCTGTCCTAACTGGGCATCTGCTGTTCCAGTGCGCTCTTCCGAGCCGTCTCACCCCAGAGGCAGACGCCTCTCAGCTCCGGGTGAGCAACCCCTGGGCAGTGTTGCTGTGTGGCTGTTCCCCAGCTGCCCCACCCCAGAAGCGTCTGCCTCTCAGCTCGGGGTGAGTGATTAGTGTCTGCAGCATGTACAATACGATAAGAGGTGTGAGCTGCTAGCGTTCAAATATTATTGTGTGACTGGAAAAAGCAGTAATAGAGCTGGGACGGGGGGCAGGTAGGCAGGACTCCTGGGTTCTGTCCCTGCCTCTGGGAGGGGAGCAGGGTCTATTGGGTTAGAGTGGGGGTTGGAGGCAGGGAGTCAGGACTCCTGGGCTCTATCCCAGCTCTGGGAGCAGAATGAGGCGTAGAGGGGCTGAGAGCCAGGACTGCTGGGATCTATTTCCAGCCCCACAAGCAATATGCAGCCTGCCCCTGTTGCAGGGAAGCCGCGGGCAAAGCCAGCCAGAAGGAGGGGAAGTCGGTAGAATGCTGATGCTGGGGTTTCTGAGAGAGCATCTCCCCCCAAACCCCTCCTGTCTGCACCCACTTCTGCTTTCACATTCCTGTGCATGCCGCTTCCCCAGGCTCCGAGTCACAAACCCTGGGGAACCGGGGCTGCAGGGTCGGAGAGCCAGGCGCCGGGCCCCCCTCTACAGATCTAGGGGTGAGTGGAACTAGGGTTGGGGAGGGAGTTGAGAAGAGTTTTTAGGTAGGGGAGGGAAAGGGGGAGCAGCCTATACCATTTTCATGGGGGTGTAACTATCCATTGCCCCGTACCATTTGCACAGAAGGGGAAAGGGAGGAGAGGAGTGACTCATACCATTTTAAAAAGAAAGGAGGGGTGAGGAGTGAGTAGTCCACAACATTTTCATAGGGGAGGAGGGCAGAGGAGTGAGTGGCCCATACCATTCTCACAGGTCAGTAAGGGGTAAGAAGGAGCAGCCCAAATCATATTAACAGGTGAGGA